TTACCAATCCATCAGTCGTATTATTGCACTTGTAATAAAAAGAGAGTTTGATCTTGAGAAAACATTCTTGATATCCCCCTTGTGTCCATATGATGTTTACAATTTCCTCCAACTATCCGCCAACCTCCCTGTGTAGTCTGTTATCATAGCAGACATCTTGTAGGACATGGTCGCCTGCTCACTTTCAATACAGTTTAGGTGAGAGCATCGCCCAGCCCATCTAGATGTAAATACATTACATCACTACCAATGACAGTTACAAACTGACCTGTTGACCTCATTTGACTGCGCATGCATGGGCCATCTCTCGCCCGAGTGCCACTACACATAACAGATCATATTTCGCCAAGTGAAACATTGGTTCATTATCGTATTTCAGTCACTTGCTTTCGTTTAAACCCGATTCCATCACGTGCCGGTTGATGACCCGTGAAACCGGCGTATGACTGCACGAGCGGCCACTAGATTGCCAGTCATCGCCGGCCGTACCTGGGTCCGCAATGGATAGCTAACCGGCGCGTAGGGAGCAGACGAGACTCCACTGTCGTAAAACAACGCTTTCTACTGCACCTGTGGGACCAAGTGTTGTAACATTAGCAGACAGGTTGTTCAGACAGGAAACTCGTGTGTACATGTGCAACTCTTAGGGGACGTCTTAAGCTCAACCTGGACTCAAGTTTATCACGATTACACTCAGAGGAACACTATGTAAGCTACGTGGATATACAAGTAAAATAAGTAATATCACTGTAAAAAGGCGCAATCGATATATATATATATATATATATATATATATATATATATATATATATATATATATATATATATATATATATATATATATATAAAATTTGTGTGAAACTGTCTAGCAATAATCATGTGCATGCGTTGATCAAACATTCAAATTTCTTAACCATTTTATGATTAAGTTCGATTTCATATCCGACAGGTGAGTTTTTAGTTTTTGGAGGCAGATAATTGTTTGGTTTTGGTTTTTATAGTAACATTGGACAGATTTTCCTCCAATTTAATTAAATATTACATGCTCAATGTGGCACGTTGACACCCTGCTCTATAGCATGCTTTTCTCTCTGGGCAGTGTTTCTTCCAGACTTTTTTCTCCGGGGGGGGGGGGGGGGGGGCACTTGACATTTTCGGGGGGGGGGGCGGTAGACTTTCTTCGGGGGGCGGACACTGTTAAAAGCATATATTTTCTATATAAATTATATAAATTTCATTTCGTTCGGGGGGGGGGGGCTTTGCCCCACCGAAGAGATGCCTGGAAGAAACTCTGTCTCTGGGTGTGCTTGCTTTAAAAAACTTTTATGTTCAATCAGGAAAATAAGCAAGGCAGCGGTTGTTTTATTTTCGTAGTTATCTCCCCTAGGTGGGTTGCTGTTCCTATCTATTTGGTCCTAGAACCGAATTCCCGTCGGATGATTGGTTTCAGCGCAACGTTGTATTTCTATTTTCAAGTATAAAGGCATGCGGCATAAATTAGGCCTTCTTTCAGTGTATTGATTGCTCGTGACATGTATTCATTCTTATCCCCCCCCCCCCCCCCGCCTCGCGTTGTTATCTACATTGTCTAAATGTATTAGATTTTTTTAATTAGAGAATGTTTTTGTGCATTGGGTCAGAAGACCAACATAAAAAGTAAATTGGTCAGCAGACCGAATTTTAAAAATAATTTTAAAATTACAATGACCCGTTACTTCTCATTTCAAATGTAAAAGTGCGGAAACCATTTTTTGTGTAGTAAAATAATTGCAGACTTTGTTTACAGCTATAATTTTATTGACAACTGAACGTGCTTGCCTGTAGTAGTAGTAGTTCTCTCTCCCCCCCCCCCCCCACACACACGTACTTCGATATGCCTATAGTTGTAAAGTCGTAGGGGCCTACGTCTTCATTTTTTTGTTGCATGCTAATTGTGTTATTTTTTTTTTTCGTTTAATAGCGGCCTTTTGGTCTGAATTTTAGAACCTCTGTTTGATAATTTCACATTACATGCGAGTGTTTTCATTGTGTTCCCAGCCAGAATATACTAACATTCATGGGCAGTGAGTGAGATAGCGATACATTGGGTAGTGAGTGAGATAGCAAAACTTTGGGCAGTGAGTGAGATAGCAAAACTTTGGGCAGTGAGTGAGATAGCAAAACTTTGGGTAGTGAGTGAGATAGCAAAACTTTGGGCAGTGAGTGAGATAGCAAAACTTTGGGCAGTGAGTGAGATAGCAAAACTTTGGGCAGTGAGTGAGATAGCAAAACTTTGGGTAGTGAGTGAGATAGCAAAACTTTGGGCAGTGAGTGAGATAGCAAAACTTTGGGTAGTGAGTGAGATAGCAAAACTTTGGGCAGTGAGTGAGATAGCAAAACTTTGGGTAGTGAGTGAGATAGCAAAACTTTGGGTAGTGAGTGAGATAGCAAAACTTTGGGCACTGAGTGAGAAAGCAAAACTTTGGGCACTGAGTGAGATAGCAAAACTTTGGGCAGTGAGTGAGATAGCAAAACTTTGGGCACTGGATAGCAAAACTTTGGGTAGTGAGTGAGATAGCAAAACTTTGGGCACTGAGTGAGAAAGCAAAACTTTGGGCACTGAGTGAGATAGCAAAACTTTGGGCAGTGAGTGAGATAGCAAAACTTTGGGCACTGGATAGCAAAACTTTGGGCAGTGAGTGAGATACCAAAACTTTGGGCACTGAGTGAGATAGCAAAACTTTGGGCAGTGAGTGAGATAGCAAAACTTTGGGTAGTGAGTGAGATAGCAAAACTTTGGGTAGTGAGTGAGATAGCAAAACTTTGGGCAGTGAGTGAGATAGCAAAACTTTGGGTAGTGAGTGAGATAGCAAAACTTTGGGCACTGAGTGAGAAAGCAAAACTTTGGGCACTGAGTGAGATAGCAAAACTTTGGGCAGTGAGTGAGATAGCAAAACTTTGGGCACTGAGTGAGATAGCAAAACTTTGGGCAGTGAGTGAGATAGCAAAACTTTGGGCACTGAGTGAGATAGCAAAACTTTGGGCAGTGAGTGAGATAGCAAAACTTTGGGCACTGAGTGAGATAGCAAAACTTTGGGCACTGAGTGAGATAGCAAAACTTTGGGCACTGAGTGAGATACCAAAACTTTGGGCACTGAATGAGATAGCAAAACTTTGGGCACTGAGAGAGATAGCAAAACTTTGGGCACTGAGTGAGATAGTAAAACAGTAGACAGTTTGAATGTCAAATAAATGTGTTTGTTGTAGACAGTTTGAATGTCAAATGTGTTTGTTGAAGATGGTTTGATTGCCAAATGTGTTCGTTGAAGATGGTTTGAGTATCAAACGTGTTTGTTGAAGATAGTTTGCTTGTTAAATGTGTTTGTTGATAAACAGGTAAAGGATAGCGGAGATTTGATTTTTTTAAGTGATGTAACACGTCTCTATATTACCAAACCTCATAAACCACAATAGAACGCCCTACAAACTTCGCGTTAAATAAAATGCCTTATAAAACGCCCTTATAATAGCTATTAATATCTAACAAACAGAAGCAACATGCTTATTATCTTTCATTATATCTATTGATATCCAGCAAACAGAAATAACATACTAATTATCTTTCATGATATCTACTGATATCCAACAAACAGAAGCAACATGCTAATTATCTATCATTATATCTATTGATATCCAGCACACAGAAGCAACATGCTAATTATCTATCATGGATCATAAGTTGTGCGACACGCGAGTCAAACATTAACACAAGCGCTGGGATGTTGAGCGCAATTTACTTCACATATTTACATAATTTATACAGGTGGAGTTTTAATATTTATATCCTGTAATAGCCGTTTGTGATGTTCGAATGTAAATGTCAGACTGTTACCCGTGAACTGCTTTTACTTATATTAAGATGGATTTTATATGGTTTATCTTGCGTAGTCCCGATGTTTGGCTTGTTTAGTCTCGATGTTTGGCTTGTTTGGATTGTTTTAGATGTTTGGATTGTTTAGTCTCAATGTTTGGATTGTTTAGTCTCAATGTTTGGATTGTTTAGTCCTGATGTTTGGATTGTTTAGTCTCGATGTTTGGATTGTTTAGTCCCGATGTTTGGATTGTTTAGTCCCGATGTTTGGTTTGTTTAGTCTCAATGTTTGGATTGTTTAGTCCCGATGTTTGGTTTGTTTAGTCTCAATGTTTGGATTGTTTAGTCCCGATGTTTGGTTTGTTTAGTCTCAATGTTTGGATTATTTAGTCCCGGTGTTTGGATTGTTTAGTCTCGGTGTTTAGATTGTTTGGTCGCGATGTTTGGTTGTTTAGTCCTGATGTTTGGATTGTTTAGTCTCGATGTTTAGCTTGTTTAGTCTCGATGTTTGGTTACTTTAGTCCCAATGTTTAGCTTGTTAAATCTCGATGTTTAGCTTGTATAGTCCCGATGTTTGGCTAGTTTAGTCTCGATGTTTGGTTACTTAGTCTCGATGTTTGTCTTGTTTAGTCGCGATGTTTGATTGCTTAGTTGTTTCATTTTTTATTATAAAAATATAAACATTCCACTCATGGCGGTGAGTCATGTGCCATGACATAGAGCAATTACAAATTAAGCCTATATTGTATTTGTCTTATCTCTTTATGCATGCTATTGTGTTTCGATGAATTCACCCATTTGCTAGTTAATGATGCGTGACTTGATTCATGTTGCAATTTCGTAGTTCACCCGTAACAGTCAAATACGACACATAAAATCTATCACAAGAGACCATTTGTGGATTTTAAAATTATATTATGAGTCGACCTCGAATGTATATTCATAACTCATTTACCTGAATATTCAGGTAGTAAAGACAGTTTTTATTCGTTAGTGCCAGTGACGTCACAAGAGTGAGGGTCGCTTGATGTGGTGACCTGAGGCGTCACCTGCATCTTGGTCTATACATTTTTTTAAAATTATGTAGCAAGCATAAACATACTAACATACAACCTTAAAATGTTGTATTTTATTTTGTCTACAGATATGTGCACCAGACGACCATTTCAAATGACGCCCTACAGGACAGCACGTGTTCCCGCGAGGGTTTCTTTCATTGTCGTCATCTGTGCTGTTTTAACCAACACCGCTTTTGGATATAGCGGTGGCGCCCCTGGTACTGCATGCAACTCTATGCTCCCCAACCACCATGGCTCCACACCAGCGTCAGGCCCTGCTCCCTTCCAGCTGATTTTAAGTAAATCAACGTACTCGCCTGGGGAAGTGATCGAAGGTTAAACAAAAAACTTTGCTACACATTCTATTTCTTTAGACACATACACACATAAACTCGCCCGTATACATACGAAATAACCGGTCAAAATATTTGCCTGGTAAAAATGTATAGGCCTACACTGTAAGCCTATAATAGAGATCACGAACAACAAAGGCACACAGTAATTACATATATTAAACATATATTTTCTGTAGACCTATTTGTTTAGTTTGTCCAATTAGTATTTTTAGGACTATTTTCTTTTTTTAGTTCAATGTGTTACAGTAACTTACTGAAAAATGTTTACGCGCAATGAAAAGAAAAGAGAATGCTAATTTTTGTGACACAATAACGATAACTATTTGGGTTTCAAAACTTTATACGAGTAATAAGACTTATTATGGATCTCTACAATACCAGGTCAAATAAATGTAATGAATGTTTGGTGTTTCAAGCCGATGAAGATTTCGATGATGAACAATTTAGATTGTGTATGTGTACATACAAATGAAGTTCCACAATATCTAAGTAATGTTCTAGATCTAGACCTAGGCATAAATAAAAAACGATAACTATAAATTATAGTACAATTAATAGAACCGTAAGTATTAGATCTAGTAAGTAAACAATAACAAAGTAGGCCAACTCTGCTAAATTATCTCAGCCGCGGGTTGTTAGAGTAGCGTCCCATTCATTAAATTTTTGTATCATAAAATAGTTAAAAGTTCATAAGTTATTTAAAAATTAGAATAATAAAGATCAAAGAAGGAACAGGCTCAACTTTAAATATACAATCACAAAGGAAAAGAGGCGGTGTTTCATAATGTAGGCTATAGCGTATTCTGAGCAAATGCAAAGTGAGAAATTCCACACCTGTACAGTACTACTTCAGTAATAATTTAATACAGACTCAGACTGTCACTAGATTTCTAGATCTAGATCTAGAAATCTAGATCTAGAATTCTAGTATCTAATACACACACATGCCACATAGATTTAGATCTAGATCTACCCCCAACAATGCCCAACATGACGCAATGACATGGAGTCATTGACAGCCCCTGTCTAGTGTCTTATCAATCTAGTCAAATCTAGTGTCTTCTCTAAAATTACAGGAATACAAATCAAGCATTTTAAAAAAAATCTTTCCATTCTGAATCAAAATTAATTATTATCTAGATCTATCTATACCATTCTATACAGGCCTATGTTTATATGTTCTAGGCCTTTATATAGGCCTGTATGTGACCTGCAGAGTTTCTTCCAGGGCAGAGCTGAGTATGATTGCTGACAATTCTGACAGTACAGCTATACACTCTTTGAAAGTTGATGTGAGAGGCTGTTAGTCAGCTATTATGTTATTTTCATGTAATAGTAATAGCCTATCAGGTCTAGTAATTTAGTCATTGCAGTAAAGCAGGCTATTTTATTTAACACTGACCATTATTGAACAATGTAATGCCTTTAAGAATAAAACATACATTGCTGGTTTGTAAATTAGAAGTATAGTTCTTTAAATACACTAACAAACATAAGAAAGTAGGTATGCTATTACTTTAAAATTAAATTAACAAACTTGGCTCTTTGACAGGATCACTCTCTGGCACACAGGGTTCCACGTTCAAGGGGTTTCTCATCTCTGCCAGAACATCTACAGGCAGTGACAGTATAGGGACATTTAGTCATGACGCCACAAACCATATTATTTGCAATAGTACAGTAAGTTGCTTGTCTTGGTTCTTTCGATAATTAAAAAAAAAAACTATTGATAGTTTTTATATTTCGAAACATGAGAAAAGTTTTCGATGATAAATAGCCTGTAATTTTATTGTTTAAATTTTTTTTTAATGCATAATTAATATGTAAGTGTCTTATTAATTATAAACCTTTTTAAAAGTTTATTTCTATAAACTATGGAACCCAGCTTTAAGTTTTCAAACTATTGGCCATTTGCTTGTTCATCTTTTTTAGACTGGTAATGCATTAACACACAGCAATACTGATGTCAAATCCTCAGTCAAGTTTAACTGGACGGCGCCTTCAACTTTGTATGGCGATTTGGTTTTTAAGTAAGATTCTATTTAATGTTTTCAAAATTTTTAAAGTGATTTTACAAACACATTACACCATAGAGCAGCAGGGAAAAGCTTTGAAGCACACAATTTGTTACCCCAACATTTTAATTCCATAACCAAATTCTAGTCCATAGGGAATTTCTGTGTCCAGCTAGCTGTGATGGGTATGTGGTCAGGAAAATATAAAGGCTGTCAGACACATTATTCTTTCAATACCGAAATCATAAAAACATGTGAACTCTACTTCATCTGTCTCATTTATAATGCTCACACTATAGATTTTTTACCCTGTTGAGTCTAAAATGTTTTGTTTTGTTTTTTCTGTCATAACATTATTAATGAAATAAGTAAAAGATAATTTTTTAGTTGCCTCAGTAAAAACAATCTTTTAACTGCTCTCAAAATAAGAACATGAACATACATAAAACATAATCTTTAGCTTATAATGTTAGTAGTGTCCTAGAAATATTTTCAATACTAACACTTTTATTAATATATACAAAGAAAAGTTATGTTTTATAGGACATTAAGAGGGAAGCTATTACAACATTTATCACGCCTATTGGAATTGTAAAATTGTCAATATTGAAGTTTTAAAAACATTAGTTTGAAGCAGATCATTAGCTTTCAAAATATCAACTTGTAATGGTTATTATCTGCCCTGTATTTGTGTCCATCTTGGCTTTAAACATTTGTAAACATCCTTCATTCATTTCACAAATAGCTACCACCTAGTCATTTTCCTTGTTTTGTATTTAGTAATCTTTTAATGCATTATTTTTAATGACTCATTTAATATCAAATTAAATTAAAAACTAAATATTTCATGTTTGTCATTAAAGATAAACTAACATATACCAAACTAACATATAACCAATATTTTTGAAGTGGGTAAGGAGTTTGGCATCGTCGGGCCAGTAAAGCTCATGATTGCTAAACCAAAAAGTCCCGACTTTAAACTCATGGGCAGATGAGGCTCAATAGCAGAGTACAGCAACCCATCTATTTGAGAAAATTCCAAAATCAAACAACTACTGCCTTGTAGTTTATTCTTGGGTGGACCAAGGCAATGGAAGCAAATCCTAAAAGAAAAGCAGGCTGAAACTTGAGTAAATGGCTTATATTGTGCACATCAGGTTGACACATTACACTTCATTGTGTTGGAGGAAATCCCATCCAACATTAAAACTAAGAATGAAAAAGAATAAAAAACAAGTGGATGAAAATTGAGTCTCTTAATTTTTACACATGGTGCCAAAATTGTAAAAATATTTATATTTTTTCAACCAAAAACTTTGCCTTGTGTAAGTCTTATTTCATTGCCATCTTTATGTCATTCATTGTCACTTTAATTAGTTAAAAAAAATCAATGTAACCCTACTAATCTTCAAATATGAAGTATAAAATTGTGTGTATTGCTGTATTATAGGGCTACAGTAGTGAGGGATGGCATGAAAGATTACTTCACAAATGTCGTCTCAGCTCCCATCAAACCAGCAGTACCCCAGGTGAGTTGTCCACATTGGTAGTTTTAATTCTTTAAAATTGCTTTCATGTACTACTACTTTGTCTTATTTTCTTTCTCTCACTGATATAATAATAGCAGACATAAAAAAATAATATTGAGAAAGAAACACAACAGTTTAACTTCATTCTTAAGCTTTTGGCTGTTAACAGCAAGTGTTTTTTAAGATGATAATTTTTGTTGTTGTTGAAAAGCATAATAATAATTCATTTAGAAAAAAAATGAACCAGTAAGAAACAAATTAAAATCTCATAGTAATCTGCTAAATTAATTATAGTGGTTATCTTGTTTTTATAATTTTACTAATACTTTCTTTTGTTTTTAAGTGTTCATTTACCCTGTTGATTTAAAGTGTTCATTTATATAAAACTTATCACAAAAAGAATTGCTGGTTGCTGTGTTAATCTTTAATTGAAAGAATTATCTTTTTATTCAGGTTGGGAAATTTTTTCGTGATTCTGACTGTGGTATTTCAAAAGGTTGCTATAGCAACTGTGCAAACAATGAATGTGATTGGGAGATGTCTTGGAATGATACAGGAGACAACTACACCATCACACTCAAGGCTTTTTTCACCTCAGATAATAAATATGTGTCTCTAGGCTTCAGCAATACTTCTAATATGGTAATACAGCAATGTTTATTATTTTTTTTTCTTTCATTCCAGTTATTGTAACCAATGCCCTAAATTGTTGAATACATTAATCAAGTAGAACACTGCTAGACTGTTAATCTAGCACTAGACAACTCTAACATTCCTACCAGCTAAGCAGTATAAAGTACAAATATAAGTGACAAATAAATTGTCTATCAGTGATTAATTGTAATAAGTAATAAAACAGATAGTGTTAGTCACCTCACAAGTTAAAGACAGTTAAAAATATTTGTAACTGTCTTTAACTTGTGAGGTAACTAACACTATCTGTTTTATTACTTATTGTATTAACCTCACTGCAGGTACCATTTGTGATTAATTGTAACATTTTATCAAGTATTTTTTAGTGATTATGCTAAAAACATTGCAGCATCTATATATATAATTCTCTTCTGGGAGACGCTAGAAAACAAGCTGTAAGCGCGCTCCCTACCACCCCACCCGTACATGGTCTGGTGAGCTGTGGTTCACGCTAAATGTTTACAATCATAGAGCGGGTTTAGTGACGGCTATTAGGGGGAGATAATTTAGTCTGAAACTATTTTAAACTTAGGGGAGGTAACTAAGAGGAGGCCGCTTTCACGGGGGGGGGGGGGGTGGATGGGTGTAGGGTAGGGGTTGGGGGAAAGGAGAGTGGGGGTAGTATCGTTCTTAACGACCTGCTGATAGTGTTTTAAAGCTAATATTTTCAGTGGCAGCATTGGTATTGTCGAATTCACAAATTATGAATTACTGAAAAGTAGAAAATAAAACAACTAAATAGCGGCGTATGATATGCCGCGGGTCGGCTCGTTAACTATAATTAAACTCACAGCTTTGAAAACTTGATTGCTTTATATTTATATCTTAGTGCCTTAATAGGTCACTTGTTGCATTATTTAAAATATAAAAGAAATGACAAAAAATAAAAAAATGATACTGATATCAACCATCAATCTTGTGTTGATTAGTTGTATTAACTTGATATCCACCATCAATCTTGTGTGAATTAGTTATATAAACTTGATATCAACCATCAATCTTGTGTTGATTAGTTGTATTAACTTGATATTAACCATCAATCTTGTGTTGATTAGTTGTATTAACTTGATGTCCACCATCAATCTTGTGTTGATTAGTTATATAAACTTGATATCAACCACCAATCTTGTGTTGATTAGTTGTATTAACTTGATATTAACCATCAATCTTGTGTTGATTAGTTGTATTAACTTGATGTCCACCATCAATCTTGTGTTGATTAGTTATATAAACTTGATATCAACCACCAATCTTGTGTTGATTAGTTGTATAAACTTGATATCAACCATCAATCTTGTGTTGATTAGTTGTATTAACCCCTTGATATCAGTCATCAGTCTTGTGTTGTATTAACCCCTCCCCAGGCCCCAGCTTCAGTATTTTCCTGTGTGACTTTCAATGGGACAACCAGTGTAGAAGTTGGCTACACAACAGGAAGACATGGGTACACTCCTTTTGCAGATGTAAGTAACAATTAAATTGTTAATAGTTAATATTAATTTTTTGAAACACAGTTGAACATTATATATTTGTCTATTGTAAAAAATCATAAATATTATTTGTATTGAATGATTGCCAACATTTAATTTTAAAGATGCTCACAATTATCATGCTTTGTTTCAGCCCTCTCAAGAGATAGATGGCCTTGTATCATCCTACAAAGATGGAGTACTACAGTGCACATTCAGCAGACAGAAGTTGAGTACTGACCTGCACCTCTTCAACCTTACAGAGCCCTGGTATCTTATCACTGCTATAGGAGATGCTGCACCTAGTGGGTTTTCTCTTTACAAAACAGTGTTGCTGTTTTATCAATGTTATATTATTTTTGTAGTCTAATTTTGTATGGTTTAATTTGATTTTTAAAAATGTTTAATGATTTTAATGTGTATTTTATGCAAAGATTCAATATCAACTTAATAGAAGTATTAAATCCATTTTGGAGATCAGTATACATAGAACAAAAAGGCATCCATTTTTATTGGGTTATTTACATTTAAAAGTTATTTTGCGCTTTCTTTATATTTAATTTTTTAGACAATAAGTTTTATAAACTTTGTAAAGGGAAGCTAATATATTTTATATTGTAAATACTGCTGAAAAATGAAAATAGTTTTAGAAATACTTAACAAAATCAAAAATATTTTCCCTCCCTCCACTCTGGTTTACATGAAAATTTAATGGATCTCTGTTCAGACAATGCAGAATCCAAACTCTTCATAATTTTGAATTTTTTTTTTTACAAAACTTTTGAAAACATCAACTAATAAGTATATTAATAAGGATGATTGTAACAGAATTTTTTTTCCAAAAGCCTCAGAGTTTTGAAAATTAGCTAAAAATAGCAGTGTTTTTTTCAGATTTCCATGACAGCCAAAAGTATTATTATTAATTTTATGCATTTCTCCATAACGTCTTGATTGTTTTATTTTATAAACCCAGTCATAATCTCAGTCGTGTTGTCTTAACCAACAGATATAAAAAGACATTCCATCACAAATCGCTACAAAACTGCCACCAAAATTGACTTGGCATCAAGGACGGTAGATGAGTTCTTCCCAGGAACAACTTCACCCCCTCAGACAACCACTGCTTCAACAGTGGCAACGACAACACCAAAAGTGGTAGAGGAATTTTTCTCAATAATACATCCTTTTAGCATTTATTATGGCATTGTCATTTGTCATTACTTAGGAAATTTCACAAACATTTTCATCCCTCATTGTTAAACATATTACCTCTTACCTGTAATTACAAATAACTGATTTTATAAAATACAAATTATATCTTAGTCACCAGCTAACACTTTATAAAATACAATTATATCTTAGTCACCAGCCTAACACTTTATAAAATACAATTATATCTTAGTCACCAGCCTAACACGTTATAAAATACAATTATATCTTAGTCACCAGCTAACACTTTATAAAATACAATTATATCTTAGTCACCAGCCTAACACTTTATAAAATACAATTATATCTTAGTCACCAGCTAACACTTTATAAAATACAATTATATCTTAGTCACCAGCCTAACACGTTATAAAATACAATTATATCTTAGTCACCAGCTAACACTTTATAAAAATACAATTATATCTTAGTCACCAGCCTAACACTTTATAAAATACAATTATATCTTAGTCACCAGCCTAACACTTTATAAAATACAATTATATCTTAGTCACCAGCTAACACTTTATAAAATACAATTATATCTTAGTCACCAGTATAACACTTTATAAAATACAATTATATCTTAGTCACCAGCCTAACACTTTATAAAATACAATTATATCTTAGTCACCAGCCTAACACTTTATAAAATACAATTATATCTTAGTCACCAGCCTAACACTTTATAAAATACAATTATATCTTAGTCACCAGCCTAACACTTTATAAAATACAATTATATCTTAGTCACCAGCCAAACACTTTATAAAATACAATTATATCTTAGTCACCAGCTAACACTTTATAAAATACAATTATATCTTAGTCACCAGCCTAACACTTTATAAAATACAATTATATCTTAGTCACCAGCTAACACTTTATAAAATACAATTATATCTTAGTCACCAGCTAACACTTTATAAAATACAATTATATCTTAGTCACCAGCCTAACACTTTATAAAATACAATTATATCTTAGTCACTAGTTTACACCAGGAATCCCTGATAAACAACTGGAAACTAGTCTGTAAAGAGAGAATTAATGATTCTATCATTTGCCATTCACAAAACAGTTCTTACATCTTGTTTGAAAAATGTAAACACGAAATCATCCATCCATACATTTATCTATCTTTTGGCAAAGAACTAAAACAATCTAGCATTATTTTTTAAATGCCATTTATTACATTAAAATATTTACAATGAGATAAAAATAACTTACGTGTGAATTATTATCTTTTTACATTTTGTAAATTACTAAAAATTTCTGACCTTTTTAATCAGTAGGTAGCAAAATGCTTATTTTACTATTATATTCTTTTGTTTCTAAATGAAATTAATGTTGATGTATATTAAAACTCATCATAGAAGAAACTCTGTGCCATTAGGATCCTAAACTAAAGAAATTATCCTTGCCTGCAGGGTGGAAAATTTGCTAATGATCCTGAGTGTGGTGTGTCCAAAGGTTGCTATAGCAACTGTGCAAACAATGAATGTGATTGGGAAATGTCTTGGAAAGATACAGGAGACAACTACACCATCACACTCAAGGCTTTTTTCACCTCAGATAATAAATATGTATCTCTTGGCTTCAGCAATTTATCCATGATGGTAAGATACTTCATTATATAATTGGTAAATAGTTGTAAACCTTACACTTGATAATTATAAAAATTGAAAAATATATCCTAGTTTAGATACAAGTCTTACTAAGTAGGCTACTAGGCCTACATCTCTAACACTTATCTAATTGCACCATAGAATCAATAACATCATCTCTCACCAGGCCCCAGCTTCAGTGTTTTCCTGTCTGACTTTCAATGGAACAACCAGTGTAGAAGTTGGCTACACAACAGTAAGACATGGGTACCAGTCAATGCCCAAGGTAAGGGAAAGCTTTGAATGTTTTATGATTGACTTAATTTAACAGCTAAGTCAATTTAATATCAAGTAGATATGACAGACTCACAATACCATTAATACAGAAGACATTTCGGGCATTTTTAACAATTACCTGCATTAACTATTTGAATCTGGATGTCATATTATTTAACTAAAAAATAGTCCTGTGTCGTCAACAAATGCTCCAAAATTTAGATAAAAATCAAGTCCTAAAATAAACTTTTCTTTAAGCCTGCATACAGCATGTAAATTAGAGAGTGTTTTTTAGTCATGACAAACATAACAGTTAATTGTTGGTTCTAGCAGTTTATATCAGTTTATACTTTATTCTAAAACTTATTAAAAAAATTCTATCCTCAAATCTATTCTGTATGAATAGTATAGTTGATTCTGTAAATTTTTATGGGTAAAACCATCATAAATAAGTCAAGCAGGCCTATTACGTTTTGCCCAAATGTAATACATAATTTTCTTTAATTTTTGTTCAGCCATCTCAAGAGATAGGTGACCTTGCATCATCCTACAAAGATGGAGTGCTACAGTGCACATTCAGCAGACAGAAGTTGAGTACTGACCTGCACCTCTTCAACCTTACAGAGCCCTGGTATCTTATCACAGCTATAGGAGATGCTAGACCTGGTGAGTTGAAATGTTTAGTTTTAATACAAGTTTTATTTACATTTTTTATGGACAATACCATAAATTTTGTTTAAAATGGTGGCAACCACAGAATAACAAAATCTATTACACTACAAGACTTCTACATTTGCTAATCACATAAAAGCTAATTAATTTTTAATATGTTCAGAGCTTGTTAGACATACAAATCGCTACAAAACTGATGTGCGGGTTGAGCTCACAAATAAGACATCCATACAACTCAACCCTATCACCACAACTTTAGCCCCTCAAACCACAAGCTCAGGACCAGTGGTAGGTCTTATATTGTTGTTTACTCTTCTCTAAGTTAGCTTTTTATTTTTCTTACATTTCTTTTTTTTTTTAGACAATAGTTAAAGTTTTTATCATTGATTAAATAATTTTCTAAATACAAATATTAAAGCCTATTTCAAATAAGTTTAAAAATTTTATAATAAATAGCAGAAAATTATTTGAACTATTTTTCTATTTTTGATTACCATTTAATGTTAAACCACTTAGAATTTTTTTAATTTGATTGAAATCATTACTACTATTATAAAAAAACCATAAGTAAAGGACAGTATATTTTCATATTTTCAATTGACTTTGAATGTAAACTTATGATGAAATCTTTAAGATTGATTAAAATCATTACTAATGTTAAAAAAATAATCAAGTAAAAGACAGTGTATTTAACTGTCATAAAATGTGCTTAATTGACTTTGAATGTAAACTTATGATGAAATCTTTAAGATTGATTAAAATCATTACTAATGTTATAAAAAAAATCAAGTAAAAGACAGTTATTAACTATCAGAAAATGTGCTCAATTGACTTTGAATGTAAACTTATGATGAAATCTTTCAGATTGATTAAAATCATTACTAATGTGATAAAAATAATCAAGTAAAACACAGTGTATTTAACTATCAGAAAATGTGCTCAATTGACTTTGAATGTAAACTTATGAAATCTTTCAGATTGATTAAAATCATTACTAATGTTATAAAAAATAATCAAGTAAAAGACAGTGTATTTAACTATAAGAAAATGTGCTCAATTGACTTTGAATGTAAACTTATGATGAAATCTTTAAGATTGATTAAAATCATTACTAATGTTATAAAAAATAATCAAGTAAAAGACAGTGTATTTAACTATCAGAAAATGTGCTCAATTGACTTTGAATGTAAACTTATGAAATCTTTCAGATTGATTAAAATCATTACTAATGTTATAAAAAATAATCAAGTAAAAGACAGTGTATTTAACTATAAGAAAATGTGCTCAATTGACTTTGAATGTAAACTTATGAAATCTTTCAGATTGCTGGCTTTACAAAAGACCCAGAGTGTGGCCAATCAAAAGGCTGCTGGAGTGACTGTAGGGGTTCACAGTGTAGCTGGGAGCTGTCCTGGAAGGATGCAGGCAGCAGTTACAGGATCACAATCAGAGCTGTTGTTTCTAATGGGGACCAGTGGCTGGCACTGGGTTTCAACAATCAGCCAGGCATGGTGAGTTTTGGCTGAAATATTGGGTTTTAACAATCAGCCAGCCATGGTGAGTTTTGGCTGAAATATTGGGTTTTAACAATCAGCCAGCCATGGTGAGTTTTGGCTGAAATATTGGGTTTTAACAATCAGCCAGGCATGGTGAGTTTTGGCTGAAATATTGGGTTTTAACAATCAGCCAGCCATGGTGAGTTTTGGCTGAAATATTGGGTTTTAACAATCAGCCAGCCATGGTGAGTTTTGGCTGAAATATTGGGTTTTAACAATCAGCCAGCCATGGTGAGTTTTGGCTGAAATATTGGGTTTTAACAATCAGCCAGCCATGGTGAGTTTTGGCTGAAATATTGGGTTTTAACAATCAGCCAGCCATGGTGAGTTTTGGCTGAAATATTGGGTTTTAACAATCAGCCAGCCATGGTGAGTTTTGGCTGAAATATTGGGTTTTAACAATCAGCCAGCCATGGTGAGTTTTGGCTGAAATATTGTTTACACATCATATGTAACGTAGTCTCATACATTATTTATATTTGTACTTAAAATAATAGTTTCTGACCTGAGAGTCAAGTGTATAGGTGAAGTAGAGTAAGCTGTATTACATGTGAAGGGATCGTACAAACAGAACCCAGCAATCTTTACTTCCCATTAGAAGTACTCATATCAAAGTCACGTCTAAAACCTTGAGCTGCCACAGCTATACATTGTTATTGATGATTCTTTTTTTAGGAAGTAGCTAGTAAATTTTACCTGCATGATTTGTTTTTATTTAACAAATGATAAAATATTTTGACTAATCTTTTTACCCCGAAATCTTTATTGTGGTCAATATTAAATAAGTCCTTTGACATTAATATGGATTTATATAATTTATTAGCTTCAATATTTACAACATCAATTTAAAAATGTATTAATATTGTACAAAATGTTGATAGAAATGTTAACTGCTGTCTGTTTGAACTTACAAGTTAAAAATGTATAAATATTATACAAAATGTTGATAGAAATGTTAACTGCTGTCTGTTTGAACTTATAAAAATTATGTTTTAGTCTCCAGCCAGTGTTGTGTCTTGTGTAGCTCGTGGTGGAACTGTCAGCATTGTGTCATCTTATAACGAAGGCTATGGGAACACACCACTAACTAATGTAAATATCCCTTTTAATACAGCCGCTAATTTTAAGATTGGATGAAGCAACTATTTTTGTTAATTTTAAAAGATAATTAAAAGTAACTAATATTCAACTATGTACATTATCTTACCAGCATCTAACTTTCTGATGTTAAACATTGTTTGGTATCTTTGGTCCTTTTGTATCTGGAGCTTGTTCAATGTGTAAAACTGAAAACAGAATTATTTGTTGTAAGGTTTAATTAGCACTAAGATCATAGCTCAACTCTTTAGCTTGATCAAATAGAAAAACACCCTCAGACTGGTGAGTGTTTAGCACCAATATCATAACTCAAATCTGTAACACTATCAAATATAAACATCAAATATCCCCAGACTGTTGAGGGTATCAGTGATCAGAACAAGACACTTGTGGGAGGTCTCCTCTCTTGTACCTTCCTGCGAGTGAAAGAAAGTAGCAACCCACAGATTTATAACCTTACTCAGCCTTGGTACCTCATCACTGCTAAAGGCCCTTTAAATGCAGGTGATTTTATTTTAACCACATTCTCTTTGTAATTAATGTTGATATACAAAATGTATAGATGTTAAGTGGGCAAAATAATTTAAAACATACTAAAATTTAGGAAAATTGATAAAATCTTTACTTCACTTTAAATTAAATTCTAATCTAGTAAAATAATTGCATTGCTTCATATTAGCCTAAGTAATCAAATTTAAAAATAAAAAACCTTTATATAAACATGTTGGCATGCTTCAAATAGAAAATAATATTTCAATATTTCAGATGGAACACTGCATATACATTCAAAGCGCTACAAAACAGCGGACAAAATCAACCTGGCCAATGCATTGACAGATTTGTCATTTGATGGATCGGTCAACACACAACCAACTACAACCATCCCGCCCACACCAGTACATTTTATAAAACTTTCTTTTTTTAAATCAATCTAATGTTTAATTAAATATACTTTCATATTTAGTAAAACTAATGCAAAATATAAGAAATAATTATTTTTTTTAAATGTGGAAAAGCTTTGTTTATATCCTAATTTCTCAACTGAAGTTTGCAAGTTTATTTTCCATGTTTATAATTTAAATACAAATTGTTCACAGGAAAATACTTTCAACAAAGACAACCAGTGTGGAAAAACAAAAGGTTGCTATAGCAACTGTGCTGTAAACAAATGCAGCTGGGAAATGTCATGGCAGGAGGAGGGAGATGACTACAGAATAGTTCTCAAATCTTATTTCTCTGGGGACAACAAATATGTGGCCCTTGGCTTCAATGAACAGCCAGCCATGGTAAGTTTTATGGTGGACCATAATTAAATCTACATTAATTTCTTACAGCCATGGTAAGTTTTATGGTGGACCATAAATAAACCTACATTAATTTCTTACAGCCATGGTAAGTTTTATGGTGGACCATAAATAAACCTACATTAATTTCTTACAGCAATGGTAAGTTTTATGGTGGACCATAAATAAACCTACATTAATTTCTTACAGCAATGGTAAGTTTTATGGTGGACCATAAATAAACCTACATTAATTTCTTACAGCCATGGTAAGTTTTATGGTGGACCATAAATAAACCTACATTAATTTCTTACAGCAATGGTAAGTTTTATGGTGGACCATAAATAAACCTACATTAATTTCTTACAGCCATGGTAAGTTTTATGGTGGACCATAAATAAACCTACATTAATTTCTTACAGCAATGGTAAGTTTTATGGTGGACCATAAATAAACCTACATTAATTTCTTACAGCCATGGTAAGTTTTATGGTGGACCATAAATAAACCTACATTAATTTCTTACAGCAATGGTAAGTTTTATGGTGGACCATAATTAAATCTACATTAATTTCTTACAGCCATGGTAAGTTTTATGGTGGACCATAAATAAACCTACATTAATTTCTTACAGCAGTGGTAAGTTTTATGGTGGACCATAAATAAACCTACATTAATTTCTTACAGCCATGGTACGTTTTATGGTGGACCATAAATAAACCTACATTAATTTCTTACAGCCATGGTAAGTTTTATGGTGGACCATAAATAAACCTACATTAATTTCTTACAGCCATGGTAAGTTTTATGGTGGACCATAAATAAACCTACATTAATTTCTTACAGCAATGGTAAGTTTTATGGTGGACCATAAATAAACCTACATTAATTTCTTACAGCCATGGTAAGTTTTATGGTGGACCATAAATAAACCTACATTAATTTCTTACAGCAATGGTAAGTTTTATGGTGGACCATAAATAAACCTACATTAATTTCTTACAGCCATGGTAAGTTTTATGGTGGACCATAAATAAACCTACATTAATTTCTTACAGCCATGGTAAGTTTTATGGTGGACCATAAATAAACCTACATTAATTTCTTACAGCCATGGTAAGTTTTATGGTGGACCATAAATAAACCTACATTAATTTCTTACAGCCATGGTAAGTTTTATGGTGGACCATAAATAAACCTACATTAATTTCTTACAGCCATGGTAAGTTTTATGGTGGACCATAAATAAACCTACATTAATTTCTTACAGCCATGGTAAGTTTTATGGTGGACCATAAATAAACCTACATTAATTTCTTACAGCCATGGTAAGTTTTATGGTGGACCATAAATAAACCTACATTAATTTCTTACAGCCATGGTAAGTTTTATGGTGGACCATAAATAAACCTACATTAATTTCTTACAGCCATGGTAAGTTTTATGGTGGACCATAAATAAACCTACATTAATTTCTTGAATCAATGATCAGTGTAAGTCTATGTATCTCTTGGTTGTTTATTTTCATCATTTACTTTAGTGATTTAGATCTAGTAAATTAGCTATAATACTTTAATGTCAACATGTGAATATGATAGGTGCACTGTGAAACAAATGTCAACATTTATGCATGTTTTCTTCCTGTGTGTTGAATATGACTTTCTGTAGGAGTAAGCTTCTATTAATAGCCCTTATGTTGTGCAGGGTGATGCAAGTGTTGTGTCATGTGTGACACATAATGGTGCTGTGACTGCAGTTAAATCCCACACTGTTGGATACAGCAATATCCCACTACAAAATGTAGGTTCTTTTGTACTCACACTTTATATGAGCAATTATACTTTATTAAATGTTACATTGTTTTGATACTATTAACTTTTATACAACCAGTAAAGCTTTTCTAAACATTACATTATTTAGATACTTTTACCCTTTATACAACCTGTAATGCTTTACTAAACATTACATTATTTAGATACTTTTACCCTTTATACAACCTGTAATGCTTAACTAAACATTACATTATTTTGATACTATAATATAACCCTTTATACAACCAGATATGCTTTATGTACTTTACTACCACATGCTAGAAAAGATTCACATCATTAAACACAATTTAATCTAAAAATATGTGATCATCCACATATGGCTAGCCTACTGAGGGTGTATCCAATCCACAAAACTCTTTTCAAGATGGCATTTTACAGTGTTCTTTCCTCCTGAGAAAGGAGAGCAGCAATGAAAAATTTCAAAACCTGACAGGAGAGTTTTATCTGATCACAGCTAGAGGAGACACAAATGCTGGTAAGTCTGTCATTAACTTCCATATTTGACCAGCTCCAAATTTTTGCTTGTAACATAACTAATTAATAGAAGTTAAGACTGTAGAATTAAAATGTATGTCCCAATGTTAAAGAAATGTTACTTGTAGTATTTAGTTTTCCTTAAACACAGCACTGCAGATTGGCTTGGAAAAACACAGAGGCGTAGCAGCCCTTCCCGGAGCCCTGGGACAAACTTTCGATTTGCACCTTGCACCCCCCGTCGAACTTTTCATTTGCACCCCCCCCCCCCTCAAACTTTCTATTTGCCCCCCCCCCCCCCCCCCCCCCCCCGTCGAACTTTTCATTTGCACCCCCCTCTCAAACTTTCAATTTGTTTTTCCAACCCATTTTGGCGCCCCCCCCCCTAAGGTCGGCGCCCGGGGACATATGTCCCCCCGCCCCCCCCCTCGCTATGCCTCTGGAAAAACATTACGTATTCAGTTAATCAACATCTGTCCATGTGTAACAGCAAAATGACACATACAATAATTATTTTTTGTTAATTAAAAAAAAAATTGCATAAAAGATTTCTCTGTTCTCAGATGGGTCTCTAAAAAAACATGACAACTCCAACCGCTACAAGACATCAGACAAGGTCAACTTGACCAGCACAAGTACTGACGTCACATTTGGTGGTGTGGTGGCTCCAACCACACCATCCCCACCTGTAAGTAATGGTCAGCAACTTTCTCTGTCATTAGCTGGATGTTCTATACTGTTGATATTATGGACTTTATATTGGTGGAGGATGTAGGTTTAAAATATGGTTAGCAGTATAATCTTTTCAACAGGATCTATGTCACTGTCTTTCATTATATAGTACTAGTTCAACATGCTGTATGCCACTGTGTCTCATTTTATATTGCTAGAATAGATCATTCTGTAAAATATGGTTTGACAAAATTAAATATTCTAACTCTTTAAGTATTTTGTTTATTAGAACTGACACACACTGTATGTATTTTATAATTCTTCAACTAAAGGCAGGAAAGTTTAGAAAGGACCCAGACTGCGGTAGCAAGAAAGGTTGCTATAGCAACTGTAAAAATGATGAATGCGACCTGCTTCTTGGCTGGGCCCCTTTAAGCCGTGGGTCTGAGACAGCTTCTAGATCTAAAGTGGCCAGTACTAACATGTTTGAGATCACTCTCAAGTCTAAAGTGGCCAGCACTGGCAACCATTACATCGCCATTGGTTTCAGTAATGCTGCTAAAATGGTAAGTTGAAATGTAATAACTAATTTATTTATTATATGAGAATCCTCAATAATCAAATACATCCCAACGTAATTTGTCTCCCTTAAATAAGTTAAGCCCTGACAGTGAAAGGGGAAGTAAAGTGGAGTTTGTCTGTTTCTTTGCCCTTGGCATATGAAGGGATAACATGGTCAGCACTATGCCCAGCTGCCTTTACTTTACCTAACGCTAACTAGGTGAACTCTGTGACGTTTGACCGATTTCAACCTGGATTTGAACTCAAGACTTTTGGGTTAGCAGTTTAGCTCTCTACTGCATGGCCAACCTGTCCCACCTCCCTTATCATACTTGCACAGTGGGGTCGGCGTGGTTGAGTCGGTAAAAGCTCATGGTTGCTAAGCCGAAAAGTCTCGAGTTCGAACCCTCGGGTTGATGAGGCTCGTTAGCTGGGGACAGCCACTCTTCTAGGAGAGACAACTTCTAAATCAAACAACTGCTGACTTGTGGTTAGTTCTTGGTTGGACAGAGGCTATAGAAGCTAATCCAAAAAGAAAAGCAGGCTGAAGTCGGAGTCAATGGCCTCAATGGCGCATAACCAGTTGACACGTATCCTTAATTGTGATGGAAGCATGGTCGAGTCGGCAAAAAGCTCATGGTTGATAAATTCGAAAAAAAAAGTCTCGAGTTCAAACCCTCTGACAGATAAGGCTCGATCCCTCCCAACACTAAAAATTAAGAACGAAGAAGAAGAAAGATACTTGCACAATTATATACTTGTTCTTGTACTTGTACCATCTAACACCATCTATCCTATGATCTAACACCATCTCTCCCACCATCTAACACCATCTATCCTATGATCTAACACCATCTGTCCAACCATCTAACACCATCTCTCCTACCATCTAACACCATCTGTACCAGGATGTAGCCAGTGTCCTCGCTTGTACAGTCTACAATGGTAATGTTGATGCCTACCAGTCAACTAACCCAGGTCAATACAACCTGCCTTTACCAAATGTAAGTCTCATTGATTACTCTCTTCATCCAAGTAAGGCCTGGCATTTATTTCATCAAACCTCAGCTATCTGCACTTTAATTTTATAAATAAACCTAATGGAATTTTTAAAAATATCTATAATAATGTTATGATAATTTTTGGAGTGTAGTTAGCTTAAAATGTTGTTTTCCTCAGCCTAAAGAAGGAATCACTGTCACCAAAGCCTCGTTTGTTGATGGATTGCTGGAGTGTATTGTGCACAGGGAAGCTTCATCTGCCAACAACTCAAAGATCTTTGACCTCAACCAACCTTGGCATCTCATCTCTGCTAGGGGTGCGGCATCTCCAGGTAGTTCTAGCAGTACAATACATGTCTTGCCGCTCCATTTGTTTGATAATGGTTAACTGAGCTTGAAGTAATGAACCATGTACAGTGGATCCACTGGCAGGGACAGTAGGGTGTTGGGGGAGGGGGCTAGAACCCTATTATTGGACCCAAAAATGAAAGGTTTCTCACATTAAGTTAATAGTGCACTCATGTTCAACAAAATGAACATGGCGGAGAGGATCTCATGATGTGGATTCAAAAGATTCATGTTATAAATGAGTTTAAATAGTTATGGATATTTTTGTTCATGTAAACTCTATATAGCTGCCTGTATATAGCTTTAGTGTCTATTTGTGTGGCAGGCCTATTCTAGGATTTAGTTTGGACTACTTTACATTTACTATCAGTCTACATAAGTGTCTTCTGTTATTAAGAGCATGTCAAGTATAAAACATAAAATCAATAAACAGGTAATTTTTTTTTCATTGCTTCTCAGGTGGGCATCTTAACCCGCATGATGGTATAAACAGGTACCTGACCCAGTCACAGATAGACTTTAAAGATACCAGTGTTGATATATCACTAGAAGACACAGAGTACCCACTTATTCAAGCCCACGGTGAGAAAAGACTTTGTTTACATTTGCCAATCATTTTATATGTATATACCAGGGATCGGCAACCTTTTGAGACAGTAGAGCCAAAAGCTACAATTTACAAAATTTCCCTGTTTCTAAAGAGCCACATTTTGTTTCCTATATTTGGTATTTGATATGTAAATAAATTTGATTTGTTATTTTAAAAAATAGCTTTAAATATGAAATATTTATTCATATAAAAAATATACATGTTTCGCCAGAGTAATAAGATTAGTAATCAAATAATATAACTTAAGGACTTTTCCAATCCACTTTAGAGGCTGTTAACTTTTTTTTCTATGTTACGGATAACACAGGCTCAGGAGGTGTCTCCCATTAGCCAGGCATGCCTTAACAAACTCCGTCTAAGGGGTCATCCATAAATGACGTCACGTTTTTTTAAAAAGGTTTTTACCTCCCCCCCTACCGTCCGTCACACATCGTCACAAAAAGCCAGACTCCCCCTAAAATGACGTCACACCTCAAAATTGCAGTTGAATTTTTTTTAAACATCGATATTTTTCCAAAATCTTGTCTGAACTCTGTCGAAATAGTGTATTTTAATAAATTCCTATTACAATTAATTAAAACAGTTTTCTAAAACGCGAAAAAACGTCTAAAATTCGTTTTTAACATTGCTTTTTTCAATGCAGAAGTGTGACAATTCACCATCTGAACCCTCCACCCATCACACACCGTCACAAAATTACTGACCCGCCCCCTCCCCCTTACGAGTGTGACATCATTTATGGACGACCCCTAACTGGCTTGGATATTGGTTTGATTACCGTGTATCGGTCACTTCTGTCCTTCAGTCCTCACCATGCTTATCTTCCACCCTACTGAATGCAGGGTAAACTAGTACCCCACCGTCCAGTATGCAGCTTGACCGTATCAAGCTAATAACTAAAAAAACCTGTGTCATTTAGGTGAAACTAATGATTACTGACAGATAGGTAAATAACACTCTGAATAAAATAACATCCCCCCATTTAACGATATTCGAAGAAGTCGGCACTTGGGCAGGTTGCCGACCCCTGGTATATACATTTTGTTTGCCTAAATATTGTTCAAAAATCTATTTTCTGAATAAATGCAAGTTATTTATTTGCTTTTTTATTGTTTCCAGGGTGCTTAATGGTGATTGCCTGGATGTTGTCTGCAAGTATTGGTATTGGCTTTGCCAGATTTCTCAAGCCTCTGTGGCCAGATAGTATGCCCTGTGGTGTCAAAGTGTGGTTTGCTGTAAGTTTTTAATTTTTAAATTTGAACCCTAGTTTGGGATTCCTATTTTTTTTTCACTTAGTATTTTGATACTCACAATTTTTTAAGATCTTTTAAGACCTAGATATTCTAACTCTTTTGTAAAGCCACAGCTGTCTGGTGCTTATAGTCCTGATAAAAAATATTTTCTCCTATGTATATCCACATAACTGTCATGGTGCTTACAATGTGTCACCTGTATAGATCAACATGTCATATAACTGTCATGTTGTCACCTGTATAGATCCACATGTCATGTTGCTTACATGTTGTCACCTGTATAGATCCACATGTCATGATGCTTACATGTTGTCACCTGTATAAATCCACATGTCATGATGCTTACATTGTGTCACCTGTATAGATCCACATGTCATGATGCTTACATTGTGTCACCTGTATAGATCCACATGTCATGATGCTTACATTGTGTCACCTGTATAGATCCACATATCATGGTGCTTACATTGTGTCACCTGTATAGATCCACATGATGCTTACATTGTGTCACCTGTATAGATCCACATGTCATGATGCTTACATGTTGTCACCTGTATAGATCCACATATCATGATGCTTACATTGTGTCACCTGTATAGATCCACATGTCATGTTGCTTACATGTTGTCACCTGTATAAATCCACATGTCATGATGCTTACATGTTGTCATCTGTATATATCCACATGTCATGATGCTTACATGTTGTCACCTGTATAGATCCACATGTCATGATGCTTACATTGTGTCACCTGTATAGATCCACATGTCATGACATTGTGTCACCTGTATAGATCCACATGTCATGATGCTTACATTGTGTCACCTGTATAGATCCACATGTCATGATGCTTACATTGTGTCACCTGTATAGATCCACATGTCATGATGCTTACATTGTGTCACCTGTATAAATCCACATGTCATGATGCTTACATGTTGTCACCTGTATAGATCCACATGTCATGATGCTTACATTGTATCACCTGTATAGATCCACATGTCATGATGCTTACATTGTGTCACCTGTATAGATCCACATATCATGATGCTTACATGTTGTCACCTGTATAGATCCACATGATGCTTACATTGTGTCACCTGTATAGATCCACATATCATGATGCTTACATTGTGTCACCTGTATAGATCCATATGTCATGACATTGTGTCACCTGTATAGATCCACATGATGCTTACATTGTGTCACCTGTATAGATCCACATGTCATGGTGCTTACATGTTGTCACCTGTATAGATCCACATGTCATGATGCTTACATTGTGTCACCTGTATAGATCCACATGTCATGACATTGTGTCACCTGTATAGATCCACATGTCATGATGCTTACATTGTGTCACCTGTATAGATCCACATGATGCTTACATTGTGTCACCTGTATAGATCCACATGTCATGGTGCTTACATTGTGTCACCTGTATAGATCCACATGATGCTTACATTGTGTCACCTGTATAGATCCACATGTCATGATGCTTACATTGTGTCACCTGTATAGATCCATATGTCATGACATTGTGTCACCTGTATAGATCCACATGTCATGATGCTTACATTGTGTCACCTGTATAGATCCACATGTCATGATGCTTACATTGTGTCACCTGTATAGATCCACATGTCATGATGCTTACATTGTGTCACCTGTATAGATCCACATGTCATGATGCTTACATTGTGTCACCTGTATAGATCCACATATCATGATGCTTACATGTTGTCACCTGTATAGGTTCACATGTCATGGTGCTTACATTGTGTCACCTGTATAGATCCACATGATGCTTACATTGTGTCACCTGTATAGATCCACATATCATGGTGCTTACATTGTGTCACCTGTATAGATCCACATGATGCTTACATTGTGTCACCTGTATAGATCCACATGATGCTTACATGTTGCCACCTGTATAGATCCACATGATGCTTACATTGTGTCACCTGTATAGATCCACATGTCATGATGCTTACATTGTGTCACCTGTATAAATCCACATGTCATGATGCTTACATGTTGTCACCTGTATAGATCCACATGTCATGATGCTTACATTGTGTCACCTGTATAGGTTCACATGTCATGATGCTTACATTGTGTCACCTGTATAGATCCACATGTCATGATGCTTACATTGTGTCACCTGTATAAATCCACATGTCATGATGCTTACATGTTGTCACCTGTATAGATCCACATGTCATGATGCTTACATTGTGTCACCTGTATAGATCCACATGTCATATAACTGTCATGTTGTCATCTGTATAGATCCACAGAGCTGCTATGGTACTGACATTCCTCTTGGGCTGTGCTGGTTTTGTCCTAATTTTTGTTGAAGTTAAAGACTACAGTCAGGTGAATTGACCTGTTTCAACCAATCATTTTATTTTAATTTTTAAATCTAGTTTTTTGTTTTTTAAAAATCATATAAAAATATAAAACTTGTATTATAATCTATGTTATCATTTATTATTTTTTATTTTAAAAGAAATTATTGAAAAATTAACAATAATTTTTTTTATTGTAGATTATAGGAGAAGATTATAAAAAGGCACATCCCATTCTTGGAATTATCACAACAAGCCTCTTAGTCATAAACGTGAGTACCTACATTCATTTCTAGAATTTAAATGTAAGAAATAAATTGTACTTAAAAATTTTGCCAAAGCCTTTATTTAGAGTATCCAATAAATGCACAAACATAGGAAGAAACATCATAATGCCTTTCATCTGAAATGTATAAATAGCATGTTGTATACATAATGTCTGCAGCCCTTCATGTCACTGTTACGTTGTGCACCAAACCATCCCAGAAGGCCAGTTTTTAATTATGCCCATTGGTTTGTGGGGATGTCCGCCCACATCTTAGCAGGTCATTAATTAGCTCATGTTTTACAATTTTAAATAACATGGTTAAAACTAGATTTTCCAATTAGTATAGCTTAAAAATATATTTTTTTTAAATACAATTTCATCATTGCTTGCAAGTATAGAACAGTTTTTTTATTACATGTAATTGTTTGACCTAATATTTAATATGTTATTCACTCCATTTATGTGACATATGTGTAGATGTGAATGCTGCCATAAAATGTCCGTCAATGTTTTCCAGCTGTAACAATCACAGTGGGGCTGTACCTGCCCAAAGCCCAGGTAGACAGCACACTTGGCCTCTACATTATGATAGCCTATGCCGCCTGGCATGTTGTCTTCTTTCTCATCATGTCACTTATAGATTACCTGGCCAATGCTGCAAAAAGTAAGGTCTATAAAAGTGATTTGCCCGGAATAACCGGAATCACCAAGAAATCCCATAAAAAAGGTATCCCTTACCTCCCTTTTTCCAGTAAAAACTAAACAAATATGGCTGCTTCTCTTGAGAATATTAATTTTTTTTATTTATTAGAAAAGTCTGACAACTCACTTTTAAAAGTAAAGATTTAAAGAGAAGTCATGTTTCTTTGGTTTTTATTTTTTTATTTTACTATTTTTATTTTTACTTTTATTGGCATCAGAATAAAGCACGCTAAAATTAAAAACCCTTCAATCTTACTATAACCAACTGTCCATCTCTTGAAGGCTGTATAGAATTACATTCAATTTTATCAATATTGACAATTTGTTAAACAAATGTTTTTTTTATAAGTGATATAATATTTTAGGTGCTTTATTCACTTTAGCTTGACATAATAATTGAATTATACATAACCAGATTAAACATTTTTATATTAAGATGCATAGTATACTGGGCCTGGCCCAAAGATTGAGGGCTTCTCTTGCTGCCCTGATCATAAAAATTTTCATTTCTAATTGTCACTTAATAACAAATTGAATTGTATTATACCGTTTTAATTATGTTTTAGATAAATAAGTATGCAAGCAACATTTATTGATTATTTTTTTTTTACATTTCTTTCTTTTGTATCTTACCTCATTCTTAAAAACACATTTTTTTAAATATTATTTTTCCCCCTTTTTTAAAAGTTTTAAGTCTACTGGCCATTATATTTTAAATCTTCAATGTTTAAAGTACTTATTGTTTTTCCCAGTTTTATTATTTTTTATTATTTATTTTCCTGTTTCAATTCTTTTCTAATTTGTAACAAGTCTGTTTTGTCTCTTCTTCATATATTTTAAACTGAAATACCGTAGACCAATCACATAGAACTACTATTTTGTTCATGAATTAAAGTATTTAACTTTTTTTTATCTATCCTTTTGATCATTACAATTACATTGTCTTGTAATTTATTTTGTCTATCACCAATGAATTTATCTGTTTACAAGTGTATTTTAAGTTCTAATCAAGCCAGATGTGTTTGTTGCTACAGGAAATGAATACAAGCTGAACTCATTGGACAATGCAGATGATCTGGCAGACTCAGTGGCACAAAGTTCAAGCAAAGATCCACCAGTAAGTGACTTTCTCTTTTGGCAAGGAATGCAAAGCTTTTATAACCTATGTATATATATATATATATATATATATATATATATATATATATATATATATATATATATAAGTCATGTATTTGTGTCTGTTTGTTTGTTTGTTTGTCTGTTTGTTTGTTTGTCCTTTATGCATTACTACACCGTTCATCTGATCGGCATGAAACTTTGCAAAGTTGTTGACCCTAACCCTGAGAAGGTATCTTAGGGAAAAAAAAATGTCAAGTTCGTAGAGGTGGCACCATGACAGGGCACGATTTAATTCTTCTCTATATAAGGTATATAAAAATAAAAGTCATAAGCGGTTTGACAAAGTTCATCCAATCACCATGAAACTTTGTGGAGTTGATTAGAACACTCTAGGGGAGGTTTCTGCAAAAAAATCTTTTTTTCAATTTCTCAAGGGCGATGCCCCGGAATGGTGCGATTTTTCTCTATATATGGTGTATAACAATAAAAGCCAGATGCGGTTCGGCAATGCTCATTCAAGTGCCATGAACCTTGGGGAGTAGATGAGAATACACCCCAGAAGATTTCTGCGAAAAAAATATAAAAATTTCTTATGGGTGGCACCGGGAGGGTGCAATTTTTGTCATTACACGGTTTATGTTAGCACTAAAATAGACTTGGTATCCATAAATCAGGCGTCCTGCATAGCGGGTAAGGGTTACTACTATATTTAGCAGTAAAACTGCAACAGGTGCAACAGCCGGCGCCCCATCGATTGCACGACCCAAAGCACCCGGGCTCCCCTGCCAGCACTATGGCGCCTACGTTCGTTTTAAAAAAAGGCTTTACTCTAACGACACAATGGGCAACACTAATCGTTTTATATATCAAATCAGGTGCATCCCCTGGAGCCCCTGCAGTGTTCAATTTGGTGCCCTGGGCTTTCCCGTGAGAGCAATGGCACCTTCATTTGTTTCAAACATTTCGATAGACTATGAAAAAGATGGGGCATTATTTTCATTCATCAAATTGAATCAGGCGCGTTCGCCGGCACCCTGACTTACTTGTCTCTTACTTTTTGTTACTTTATTATTTAGCTTAGTTTTTTTTTCTCTTTTGTTTTCAAATTAATAATTGCTAATTACAAAAAGTTAAAATCAATTATTATCAAGTCAAGATATGTTTGTGTTCAGCAGCATTAAAAAAGGACTCAATGACTGTTAAAACTACTACAACCTTTTTTTTTTCCACAGTACTCATTCGCCAAGAAAATATTAATGTTGTTTCATGTGGCTGTTCTGTGTGGGCTGACCATTGCCATCCTGTATCTTATCATCAAGAGAGACATTGAAAAGGACTAGACCTCACTACAAATACATCTCATGTAGGAGTATGAGAATCACCTTGAAGCTCAACATTTTAAACAATTATTTGACTGCTGAAATACTAACCCATGCCATCATCATCTTCTATCCCTGATGCTTTAATGGAGCTGTTGGTGTTTCCATGGTGATGTTGGTGTTTTCATGGTGATGTTGGTGTTTCCATGGTGATGTTGGTGTTTCCATGGTGATGTTGGTGTTTCCATGGTGATGTTGGTGTTTCCATGGTGATGTTGGTGTTTCCATGGTGATGTTGGTGTTTCCATGGTGATGTTGGTGTTTCCATGGTGATATATTGGTGTTTCCATGGTGATATATTGGTGTTTTCATGGTGATGTTGGTGTTTCCATGGTAATGTTGGTGTTTCCATGGTGATGTTGGTGTTTCCATGGTGATATATTGGTGTTTTCGTGCCTTGTTACACCATAGACCAATGTATTTTTTAGCTGTATCAAAGTTGCTTTAAAAAAAATAATTTTGTCACTTACAGTCATTTTGAGCTTTAAAATGCCAAGATCTAGTAGCATTTTGTGTAGGTATTTTTTGTGTATAATTGTTACCAATGTTACTTTAATTTGCCCTTAGCTCGAAGCAGCATTTGTTGTAAAATCATTTTTTGCGCCTTAAGGTTTTTTTATTATGCCTTAGACAGGAATATCCCATCAAGTATAAGTGCGAGTGTGAAAAAATGCATTGTTAAAACTTTTTAATATTTACTGACATTAAGTAAACAATTGAAACATAGCTAGCCAACGTTGTAGTTGTAACAAGTCATTGCAAGCTATTGATCAGGTTTTAAAGCAAATATGTTATGTATTTATTAAGACTCTTAATAAGAGTCAACAGAAAGAAGAAAATTAACTATGGTATTAACTGTTTTAAAAAGCTAAACATTGTCCTACTATTTAAAATTTTTAAATTTCTTATTTCTAAAAATCTGGACAATAAAACAAAAATAAAAAACTTAATGAAAGCAAGAAAGTAAAGCAGGCAATCTTTTAATAATAATAACATTAGTCCCTCATGAAATTTCTTACATATTATAGTGACCAACACATTTACTAAATAAAGAATTTTTTCTTTTTCTTTTTAGCTTGTTATATAAATTTTTTTAATATGTATTATTAAATTCTCTGTATGTTAAGTACGACTGGTGATCACAATAATTCATGCAATCAATCACCTTTGTATCATAAAATAAACCTGTAATTTTAAATGTGTGAAATACTTGTACAGATCAAATTTTACCTGGTATTTACACAGGCCAGACAGTGGGTCTAATATTAATATTAGACCAAACTACCTGCTTTTTTATATGTCACACAATGGGTCCAATATTTATATTAGAACCAATTTTACCTGCTTTTTTACATGACACAAAAATTGTATGAATATTAGACTCAAAGCATTGATGACATTTCTCTGTGTAGGTTCCATAGAACTTCTCACAGAAACCTAACCACATTCTTTAGTGTTGACATCTTCAATTTGTCAACTTCATCTTTGGTCAGTTGTTTTCTTTCAGTACTGTAGCATAAAACTGTTATCAAGTTATGCCCCTTTTCAAACCTTTCAACACATGGGGCAGGTGAAGTAGAGCTCACCTGTTTCACTGATCTCAGGATAAGAAGGAATAATGTGGTCAGGTATGCCCAGCCACCTTTACTTTCCTTAACCTGAGTCAGGTAAATATCAGAGCTGGGTGGACTCAGGGATGTTGAATGGACTTTAGCCCAGGATCTGAACTCAAGACTTTTGGGCTAGCAGACAAATGCTCTACCAATTCCACCACCCCATCACATAAAATTATATCATGTCATATATCAAATGAAAAATATTGTTTTAAAAATGATCTCTTTTTTCTTACGAATCTGTTCATTGTTTAGAAAGATGCCTTGAAGTATAAAATTTGTCACAATTTCTCTTTAAATTATTTCCTTGACTCTAATTTTGTTGTTGTCATTCTATGGTTATGTAAGATTCTGATAACATTCAGGTAATGTATGTGTATGGTGTATTGGTGGTGACATCAAAAGACTCGTAGGCCTACATATAACTATTGAAGGGAGGGGCTGCTCAGGGGAACTGAACTTATGAAAACTTTTGTTTGCACTTTTCATTCTGAAATTTATACTCTCTGTCCCACAGTTTTTGACATATGGTTGAACTTTTTTATGGACAATAAGATGTTTTACATATTAAACAATATATATAGCTCCTTTTGAAACAATGGCTTTGTTCCTAAAAATTAAGATGTTATATTTTTTTGATGCAGGCTGTTCTGTGGCTGATGATCCGTTTCTGCAATGGTAGTCTCTGACAGTTATTGCAGATCATTGCTAGTGCCATTTTTAAGAGATTTTTTTTCTTCTTCTCCTCTCAGTGCCTGCCTTTATTTCTTCAGCAACAAGGATGCCAGTCCACAATATTTGAACACACATAATTCTGATTTTATTTAAGTTTAGTAATAGAGAAAAATGTTGTATTTGATTAATTTAATGTGGACTCCTGTAGACAGAGAAAAAAATACCTTGTTTTCATTGTAGATGGTATAAAGTTGTGGATGGTATAAAGTTGTGGATGGTATAAACTTGTGGATGGTATAAACTTGTGGATGGTATAAACTTGTGGATGGTATAAACTTGTGGATGGTATAAACTTATGGATGGTATAAACTTGTGGATAGTATAAATAAATAACCTGATCTTTTTATTCCTATGAAAAATTCTAGAGAACTTTGTGAGTTGAAATGTACACTTTATGTAAAATAGATATTCTTCTGATTATTTTTCTTAGTGTAAATTATTTAGAAATGATAATGTACAACATGTAAACCAAAAAAGAGATTTAAATAATATTCTTATTTAATTTCTCGATATGCTTTGATTTCACTAAAATTTTAATAAAATGTATGATGCATGATCAAATGTAAAAATTAAATGAAATAGTTTTTGTTTATCCTTTATTTTTCATATTTATACCTGTAAGAATGATGTCATCGCTTTGATTTCATAATTATAAATTTAACAAGTGATTAAGTTTTATTTTTTACTTTTTTTTTAATACACATAAAATGTATGAAAAATATTTCAGCCTATTCTCCGCAGTTCTAATAACGTAAAGGAAACAATTGATGGCTGGTCTTCATTAGAAACACTTTAAAAACTTGGTGAGAAAAATTGGTCCTGTATTGGTTACATCTTGTGTATATCTCAGCCCAATATATATTTGTTACATCTTGCCCTTCACCCCCCCCCCCCCCACACACACACAAAAGAGGCCAAACATACATGTTTGCCATATCTCTGCCCACAAAGCCCAATATAACAAGACAAATATAACCGTGTACTAAAATATAACCAGGCACTAAGATATAACCAGGCACTAAGATATAACCAGGCACTAAGATATAACCAGGCACTAAGATATAACCAGGCACTAAGATATAACCAGACAGTAAGATATAACCAGACAGTAAGATATAACCAGACAGTAAGATATAACCAGACAGTAAGATATAACCAGACAGTAAGATATAACCAGGCACTAAGATATAACCAGGCACTAAAATATAACCATACAGTAAGATATAACCAGACAGTAAGATATAACCATACAGTAAGATATAACCATACAGTAAGATATAACCATACAGTAAGATATAACCAGACAGTAAGATATAACCAGGTACTAAGATATAACCAGGTACTAAGATATAACCAGACAGTAAGATATAACCAGGTACTAAGATATAACCAGACAGTAAGATATAACCAGACAGTAAGATATAACCAGACAGTAAGATATAACCAGACAGTAAGATATAACAAGACAGTAAGATATAACCATACAGTAAGATATAACCAGACAGTAAGATATAACCAGGCACTAAGATATAACCAGACAGTAAGATATAACCAGACACTAAGATATAACCAGACAGTAAGATATAACCAGGCACTAAGATATAACCAGACAGTAAGATATAACCAGACAGTAAGATATAACCAGTCAGTAAGATATAACCAGACAGTAAGATATAACCAGGCACTAAGATATAACCAGACAGTAAGATATAACCAGGTACTAAGATATAACCAGGTACTAAGATATAACCAGACAGTAAGATATAACAAGGTACTAAGATATAACCAGGTACTAAGATATAACCAGACAGTAAGATATAACCAGGTACTAAGATATAACCAGGTACTAAGATATAACCAGACAGTAAGATATAACCAGACAGTAAGATATAACCAGACAGTAAGATATAACCAGACAGTAAGATATAACCAGACAGTAAGATATAACCATACAGGTTGTCACGTGATGTCTGAATACAACTCACCTGGACCAGGGCTGGAGTAGGTTGGACCAGATCTGGGACATTTAAGACAAGGCAGGTCACCGTGGTCCTAGAATGGTGGTGTGTTTGTTATGGTATGACTGAGCAGAACTCACCTGGGCCAAGAATTAGGGTCAGACCTCGGTTATTTAGGGCAGGTGAGGTCACCGTAGTCCAACATTGTTGTTAAAGTCGTCAATGTACGACTGAGTAGAACTCACTAGGTTCAAAACTGAGGTTAGTTTGGGTCAAATCTGGGTCATTTGTGTCAACGCAGGTCACCCGGGTGCAACATTGTTGATAAAGCTGTTATGGTACGACTGAGTAGAACTCACCAAGACCAAAACTGTTCCAAGTTTGGGTCAGAACTGGGCAATTGAGGCCAAGACAGGTCATGTTGGTGCAATTTTGGTGTTAAGGAGGTCATATTGTGGCTGAGCAGAGCTCACAAATGTCAAGACTGTGGTTAGTATGGGTCAAATCTGGGTCATTTAAGGAAAGACAGGTCACTTGGGTGCACCATTGTTGTTGTTGGTGTAATGTTATGACTGAGCACAACTCACCTGGACCGTGAACGTAGAAAGTTCGGGTCAGATCTGGGTCATTGAGTCAAGGCAGGTCATGTTGGTGTTGCTGGTCACTTTGTCCTGACATAATACAACTCACTTGGACCTAGTCTGTAGACAGCTAGGGTCAACTTTATTGATATTTTACAAAGTCCGACTAGTAAGGTCAAGGCTGTATATAAATAAAGACTTTGTTTTGTTCGATATGAAAGCGAGAGTAAAAGTGAAAGGTGTAAGGATATGGCAGGGAGGTGTGGGGGTGGGGGTGAGAGGGAGGTGTGGGGTGGGGTGGGGGTGAGAGGGAGGTGTGGGGATGTGGGGGTGTAAGGGAGGTGTGGGGTAGTGTTTCAAGGCGAGGTGTGGGGGTGGGAGG